GGGGGAGGCTGGAGCTGCATCTCTATCACTTCTGTGCCAGTTTCGTGATGAGAGCTTTCCACTCCAATCTCTTCTGCGTGATGTAGGAGGGCGTGAGGAGCTGCAGCAAAGGCTCTGGTCGGCCCCTGAAGTATCCCTGACACAGAGCCTCTGTGTTGCAGATGACATACATCCCACAGTCATAGCTGTTCTGCTGGGCAGGTGCCTTCTCCTCCACGAAGGTTGCTTTGCCCCCTCTTTTGCCCAAGAAGGCCTCCAGCTTCCCCACCACTTGCTTGGCGTGGACAGAGTTGCATTTACTGTGGGAATCGTAATGGGCGAAGCACTTTTTGTCCCTGAAATAAACGAGTAAGCTCCAGTGGGTACCTCCAGCGACCTGGTTGGAGTTGTCATTGATCGGCAAGAACACCAGCTTCTTGTGGAGAAGGTCCAGGGGTTGAAGGAATATGGCTATTTCTTCCTGACTAAGGGCACATTTAATGAACTGAGCCACTTCGGGGCTGATAAAACAAACCTGATCGCTAAATTCTTGGAACTGGTGGTTGGCGAAGTACTCGAAGGCAAAGCCGATGATGTGATCATTAAGCCAGTTTGGGGGCTCCAGCAAAGCAACATCCGATTGCCTCAGCAAACTGTCCATGTAACTGAGAACAACAGGGTCCATCCTGCGCAGGTTGGGGCTGCAACACTCCAGGACACTTCAAAAGCTGAAACATAGAAAGGGAAGATAAATTAAGGAATTAGGTCACACCTGGGACAAGATACAGCGCAAGAAATGTCTTGAGTTCCTTCTCAGCAAGCAGTGAGCGAAAGCCCAGAGGGATATTTGAGGGACTGGCATTTGAACTCTCTGCTGGCTGAGCAGACGGGGGACATGCAGCTGCTCATCTGCAGCATGTCACGGGTTGAGCCGGGCTCTTCTGCTGCTCTGGGAGCAGTGCGTGGCTCCAACAAGATAAACTTTCATTGTTATGATCTTAACCTCAAAGCAAAGTGATTTCAAAGCAGTTCCTGCTCAGGAACTGCAGGCACGCCTTCAAGTTCTGTGCTTTGCACAGAAACCATGCATGATCTAGGAAAAGTTGCTTGGCGTTTCAGTGTTCCAGTGTTTTACCTGCACAGTGACAAGCCCTGTAATTCTTTGCATCGCTGATATTCCTTAAAGAAAAGTCTTTTTGGGGCTGTCTGGCAGGCGTACGGTCCCTTTCACCTAGCAGATAGTACCACAGCTCAGTGCCAGACGCATGACCTGTTCCAGGAAAACCTGCTGGCCCGCCAGCACAGAGGCAAGGCGATGACGAGTATGGAGAAACAAAGCAAAGCAAGATGACAAACAAACCAGTTCCCTCCCGTGGGAAGCTGTAGGACAGCTCTCTACCTAGCTGGTACAGATTTCAACAACTTGGGTACTGCTGAAGCTGGATGGTCTGCAAAATGTCCCTTGTTTTTTAGCTCAGGTTTTAACTTGCCAAAATTTTGCTGGCAAAAGGAGAAAGCGCTGGTGGGTATGCTGAGGAGTGAGGATCCCTGCAGGCTTCCCCTGGTGATGTCCACTGGCCAACAGAAGGGACCGGTCATGGCAGCCCACTCTTTCTGATCTTTTACTCTGTTACTGGTCCAGGCTATGTTCTTCCCTTTTGATCTGTGCTTGCTTTCTAGAAATAGAGGCTGTTTATCCACAAAAAGGCGCCTGGAAATTCAAGTAGACCGTAGCACCTGGTTCTCCCCACCCACGTGTTTGAGGATGTACTCAAGGGACTCCAGCAGGTCCTCCAGGCAAGCCTTCTCCTGACTCCTTTCTGATTAGCAGGTTATCCAACTATCCACTCGTTCTGGTCTTTCTACCAGTCATGTAATTCCTTTGCAGAAGCTGCCTTTGTGTCCTGGGGGGGGATTAAAGTGTCTTTTAAGCAAGAGGTTGCACGGCACGTTAGGAGGTGCTGCTCAACAGACAACATGAAATACTTGCTTGTGCCAGACTGGGATTTAGGAGGAGATCTTCCAAAGAGAAGCTGTTGATTTAAACCCCCTTTATCCACCCCGGTTTTCCTTTTGCTCATGCATCCCCCAGTCCAGGCTCCTCAGCTGCTGTGATGCACTAGCAGCTCCCCAAGGCTTCTCTCCTTGCCGGGACAGGGCTAGAAATGCCGTGGCTCGGCACAGCAGTGACGCGGAGCTGGTTTGGCCTCACCCTTTCCTCATCTGTGCCAAACACAGCATAAAAACATCTTAGGATTTCTTCAAGCACCGTGTGAAAACTAATAATGATAAGGTCACTCTAATATGATTCACTATAACTAAGATGCTAATTATCCATTATGATAGGGGGATATAAAAAAAAAATCCAGCGCTGTGGTGTTTATGTGTTAGGAAGAAGTAGGTTTGTGCTTCTTACTGTGACATGAATCATGACAAAAACCCCGTCCAGGCCAGGTATGCATAAATTAAGAGAGCTTTATCTCTAAAAAGTCTTGGCAAGGTCCCATCGCATGTGACTTGTAAATAACTGAATGGATGAGGCATGCTGTGTGTGTAATACAGCGGGAGGAAGGGCTGAGGTAGAGCATCTGGGGCTTGAAAAAGCTAATAACTGTTTGTGTGTCGCTGATGGATCTGAGACATGCCAAGCAGCCGGAGTCACTGAAAAGGAAGGGGAGCAGTCATTGTTATTTCTACTGAGCCAAACACAATGGTATTTGGATACACTTCCTACGTTAATGAGCTCAAACTATTTCCAAGTTGGTGGAGCAGATCCTTTGCAACGGCCAGCAGTATAAACAACAACAAATCTAAGCTAAGTCCCAGCAGCTCTGGAGCATGCCTGAATATAGTCTTGGTTAAAGAGCTGCACATCCTGCCAGCCTAAAAGCGACCAGTTTGTGCCTTTAACATGGTCACTGCTGAAATACTCCTTGCACGTGCCCATAATGCCCCAAATTTTCCTTTACTGCACATTTTTTATTGCTTCATCTTCTCCTGGAGATGCATGAAATACAGCAAATAGCTTTCCACTTGAGTCCAAATGGGATTACGGGCTAGGGAAGGAAGCAGGCATCCTGTATGCTGTTAATTTTCTACTCCACAGCAACATCGTTTGTGCTTTTTTTTAGTCAAGGGGAAAGAAAAAAAAAAGACAACATTTGGCAGCTTCCTACAGTCAGGAAGGGAGAATGATTATAGCAAATGCTTAATTGCCATGAGCTACTACTTTTAATTTTATTGCCATCTGGTATTTGTGAAACTGCATGTGTGAGTTCTGCAGGGTGAGTCACTGCGCGCAGCACCCATCTTAAAGGAAAACCCTTCGTAGGCTCCGACGCCTTTCAGAGCCACTTCAGGTAAGCGGTGAGGACTGAAAAAGCATAGTGGAGCTGGGAAAAGCCAGCAGAGAGGTTGTTTTGTTGGGGAGAACCCTCCCCATTGAAGCTAAAGATGAATCCACAGCGAAGCCGGCATGTGGATTAAGCACCTTTGATGTTAAGGGGTGTTGAAATCCAGGCGCAGATCGCAAGCGGCTCTGCTTGGACACAGCCAGGATTTGCTTCCTGAAGGCTCAGGCCCACTCTTTTCATAAAGAATAGGAATAAATCCCAACGCAGGCCTGGAATGTTTGTTGTAGATTGCTGACAGGAGTCTTGCTCGTTCATTTAATTTGCATATTAGTAGTTGGAATTTGTGCCAACTCCCTGTAATCCTCAGCTTCTGGGCGGGATAGTCATCTGCCCCGTTTTGAGCGTTAGGATGAGAACACCAGGGAGAGAAAAAGGAGCATTTAAATAAAAATGTCATCAAGCCGACCAAGGTGAAACTGCTCGCTTTTGTTTGTAGATTTGAAAATGGTGCCATCTTGCATCAATATGGCAAGAAACCAAGTTCTGCTCATCTCTAAGTTACAAAATTCTAACAGATAAGCCGCCGGCGTTAGCCCAAGTTTGATCCGTAAACTGATGGGACTCCTTCGTGTCCAGGAAACCTGCGTTTCATAACACTTGACCAAAAAAAAGCCCCAAACCTGTTATTTTTACAACATTAAAGGCAACTACCTTCTGCACGTAATTGTTGCCTCGTGCTCCAAAGGCAGCACTTGAGAACTGAGGAATGAAGCTCCTTTGTAATTGTGTGTAAATAGGCAGCGATGGAGCAGAGAGAGCATAAATGAAGGATGAATCAGATTCCTAGGGTCTATTTTAATAAATTAAAGGTGCTAAGAACATCCAGAGTGAATATTTTAAGGCGCCACGTCACCAAACTCCTGTACCAAAATGCAAAGAATATGGAGGTAAATAGAAAAAGCCACCTGACAGACAAATTATTCCAACTTTACTGGGGAAGAGCAGGAGGGACACAGAAGTTTTCGGCAGCTTGGCTGAGGTCTTTGGAATGATCAAGAGTAAAAGGCCCCACCGTTTAACCACCAGGCCATTCCCTTTTACTGGAAATACAGTTTTTAGATACCGTGCTGTTAAAAGTGGTGGTTGTTAATGGTAGCGTGATTGGACAAGGAACATCAATTTCTATTTATCAGCGTGAGATGGGCTGGGCTACTGGCACCTGAGTCTCCGTCCTTACCCGTCTCCTAACACAGCCAGAGATGAAACTCAAGCAAAATTAAGTGACTAAGGCAGAAAAGAAGCACACTAGTCTACTCTTTTGTTAAATATAGGTAATCTCTTTGTAGCCTGTAGATTATAATTCCTGTACGATACGAGAACAGAGCCTTCATGGGTTCAATAGGCCCCGAACACCAGACTCGGAAGAAAACATTAGTAATTTCTGTACACACAGACAATGGCCAAACCTTTCCGTTCCTGACAAATTTCCCTAAACCAGACACATGTGGCCGCTCTACACAACCAAACTCCAGAACCTTGCTTTTCTTTCACCACATGTCACAGGGCTGTAAACAAAAAGCCAGAGGAACTGCACCAAGCACTACTGAAGCAAACGTGTTTTGCTCCCTGGGGTGGGGTTGGCCAAAGTGTTAAGTTTAGAGGAAAAAATTCCCAGCGACCTGAACGCCCGAGGATGAGGGATGCCGGGAGACTCTCCCAGAGGTAACGATGAGAAAGCCCTCAGCTCAGTTCACCGAGACCATGTTAAGTGGGACGTTGATGGATCACATTCACCTACGTGGAGAAAGAGTTTAATCAAGGGAGCAGTGGGAAGTGCTGGGAGGGAACAGCGTTTGCCCAGAAGACCTAGAGGTCGCAGGAATTCGGTCAGGAGATGTAATTTGTCCAGAGGAAGGGATGGGAGTTGTGGTCGCTCTGTGGAGCCGCGGCTCACGGTGCCCGGCCGGAGGAGCGAGTGCTTGAGCCCGGGCTTCTCCTTGCGCTGGGCGGGCGGTTGCTGGTCGGGATGGGAGCAGCCCAGCAGCCCCCCGGGGAGAGCTCGCTCGTCCCGCTGTGCTACTGAGGAAACAAATGAGAACGAAGGGAGGGGAGAGGG